TTATAGGAAAACAGTAAGGATAATGATGATTATTTAGTGGGAAGAGGGTGCTTTCCTTTTTCATAGCTTAGTCATCGTTCATTCTTTCTCCACTCTGAAGAGCAGCATAGCTGAGAACTAGTGTCCGAAAGGTTAGTTTTACTGTCTCTTTTCCTGTGTGCTGTAAAGGACAGAAGCTGCAGCTGACAATCAGAACAGCAGTTTTGAAAAGCAGGATCGTCCATTTTTTTAGCTGAGAAAAGAGTGAAAATGGGAAGAGGTCATTCAAGAGCCAAGTGGCTTTCCCACTGGCATAGCATAAGGGAAGCTTTGTTTTGTGCTTCTTCAAGAACAGACATACCGAGTTGTCTCGCTCTCACATTTGGTACTTGATTTGTATAGTGCACATAAGGTAGGCTGGGTCTTGCCCTGAGCCAGAGCAGAGGATGTTATAGGTGCAGCTTTCAACATACCATTAATAAAAGTATCACTAAGCATTGCTGTCGTGATGGCTAGTTATGTTGCATCCATAGCCAGTTGTACTGCTTTGTGGTTTAGAATCCCTGTGAGGGTCTAATCTGACCAGAGCAATATGGTAGGGCAATATGAAGCCAAGCAGCTGCATCTGGACTAGATTTCCTCAAAACAGCTTCACACTGCTCCTGTACCTTTGAGGTTTCTCCAGCTCCTGGTGACAGCCTGGCCATGCTATGGTGGCAGGTTGTCTGGTGGGCAGACTTGTCTCCAGAGCTGGTGTGGTATCAGCAGGACACCAGCCATGTGAGTAACTTAAAAACTGCACAATCTGAAGAGGGTGATCTTTAATGCGACTCCTGCGTTTTAGTGCAAAATGCATTCCTAAATAAACAGAAGATGGACATAATCATTCTTAACCAAAACCCTTGGTACTCGTACCCATCAGCTCGTCTCACACAGACTTCTCATCTGTATTCTTTTCAAAATGTAGCAGTGGCTTGAACTGAGCCATTTATTTCATAAAATCTACGAATAACTGGAGCTTCAAGGCTTCATAAAAACTGGGATCCAGAGCACTTTTCTTACTGCTTTTTTTTATGCTATCTTTCAAAAAAGTAAATAAGTTTTCTAAATGTGGGGGTTTTAAACTTACATGTCTTCTTATCTTGTCTGAAATCAAGACTCAATGAGAAAAAGCTGATTGCAGTGTGGATTTTTTTTAAAGCCAGGTTATGTAAATTACTGAACTTAATGAGGCTTCCATGCTGCCCAAGGGTGCTTGCTGCTGTTCACCATGCATTTCTAACCCTTTCTGTGCCTGTAAACACCATCTCTTCCCTTTTGTTTTTTCTTGCTTCTTTTCTTGTATCTTGAAGATCTAAGGAGTACTGCTAAGCTGGACCTGGACATCAGTTGGCAGGATGCCTGTGCAGGACTACACTGAAGTAAAAGTGTGTCACGTGGCTACTGTGTTATTAATAGTTTGAGTCTAGAAGCAGAATAGAGAGTTGGGAGACATTCACCTCTTGCTAGTATGTAGGAAGGAAAGTGACAGTAGGTCAGAGTTACCCTTTCCTTTGCCTAAAGGAAATCTTCTTTATATTCCTAGGAAGTTCATGAGTTAAACTATTGTGTCATCTTTGAGATTACTGTAGAATAGTGCCTAGATAATCTGAAAACTTCTTTGGTTTTTTGCTTTATTTTTGCTTTGGGTGAATAGTACTCAAATGTGCGAGCTCCGGTGCAAAAATCTTGAGTTGATCAAATGCTGAGAGTTGTGTTAGAACTGCCTGCAGCTGTTCATATTCGGAATTTCAGTTTGCACTTAATAGTGTATCATACTAGTGTATCTGTCAGCTCTACTTAGAACTTTCTTTGCTAATTTAATTAACTCACTTCAACTCAGCTTTTTTCCCCAGAAGCAGAAGAAACAAAAGTGAGTAAAATCTGTGATTCTACCAAGATGATTATCAGCCCAGTTAAGTCAGAATAGTGATGTGCAATAGACATATGTTCATTCAGTGTAGCAATCTAACCTGTCAGAAACCAGATTTTTTATATATATATTTGAGATGAATAAAGGTGATTTCAAATTTCTAATTGGCAGAGCACATAAACAGAACTATGTGGATCAAGGAAGTGTTCTTACATCTATATTTTGCTATGGTTTTGTTTTCCTTTTGTGCACCATTTACACGATTGTATACCATTGTCATTTTTGTGTTTGTATTCATGATATTCCACCAATGTTACTTATAAAGTGTGGAGCAAGAAAGAATGGACCACTTTCATTTAACTCTTAATGTGTCCGAATCTCACACTTGGGACTTTGGGTTACGCAGCACCAATAAGGAGCTCTGCTTTATTGACTGTAGACTTGTGTGTGTGTGTGTGTGTGTGTATACACACACATGCATGAAAATATATTTTAGAGTGATGCTAAGGCTGCACAGTTAATGACATGGGAAACTATGCTCTGGGGTATGGCCCTGGCACAAAAAGCAGCCATAGTCTGGTCTGTCTTGAGCCAGCACATGATCTCATTGCAAACAGAGTTTTCTCATTCTGGAGCTGTTAAACTGGAAAGAAGTGGGTATTGCATTTGTGCAAACCTGAGGTTTTTCTGGGACACATTTAAGATGGGTAGAGTTTTACAGAAACAACATATTTCTAACACAATAGCTAGCTGCTTGCTGAGCTGCATGTCCTTCCAGCAAGGCATAGAGACTCATGACCTTCTGACAATTGTGTTGCCAGTCTTTTTTTAATTGCAAAATAACTTCTTCTGTAGCCTCATTTTTGGGAAGAGCTGAACTGTTTTCTGGAACTTAAACCAAACAAACAAAGTTATCAAACCAAAAACATTATTCTGAGAAAAGTTCTTGTCATGGAAATCTTCTGTTGAATTAACTAAAGCTTGGCAAACTTTTAAGCATCAGAAAGCATTGCCAAAAATCCCTGCTAGCTCCTCTCTCATAATCTGGTTTTTCGTGTTGTTTGTTGAGGTTTTTTGTCTAATGAATGTTCAGCTAGCCATTCTTGATCATGTCCCAAGGAAAAGGAAGAAAAAAAAAAGTATACTGCATAACAGACCAGAGGACTTTGTCCCAGCATGCTGGAGGAAGGAGTAAACACTCCAATGGCTTCTGGTATTTATTTGGGATTGCTGCCATGATGATCAGCAGGGACAGGACTAGATTTGAGCTCCCTGTGTGCACAAAGTGAAAGTGTCTGCCAGCTCCCAGTCTGTTCTCTGGCCGTCCCCTGTCCTTTGTGTTGTGTCAGGGTTGGAGTGGAGGGGAAAGGTCAGGGTCTTAGCTAAAATGGCATCACTCCTTTGGAAGTACTGGTACGGTGTTTTAGGAGGAGGGCCCAGGTAATTGCAGCCTGCTTAGGCAGCCACCGAGCCTAAGGAGATGAGTGGAGATGCTGACCTGGGAAGCCTCATACTGAAAGAGAGGCTGAGGAAGAACCTGGCTTTTATGGATTTCTGCTCAGAGAAGAGACATCTCATGACCTGAGGAATTTTTCGGTCTAGCACAAGAGAGGTTCAAGAACTAGACCACGAGATCACCATTCATGCTGCAAGACCAGTTCAGTGAACGTTAATTAGGACAAAATCAACTGTGAAGTGAGATGGACCATGTTTTGAATCAATGAAAGCAGCTACACATTGGAAAAAAAGATTATGCTTCCTAACTGAATTGAAATATATCCAAGTGATTTTTTTGTGTTAAAACACCATCAGCCATTTGCTGTTTCCCTTTTTATTTTTGTGGGGACTAAAAGAACGGCTGGGAAGAAGATTTCACTGTGTGATTTAAATGCAGATGTAAAGTATCAATAATGTAAATATAGATATTTACAGAGGGTGGTCATCACATGTCATAACTTTTCAGTCACTTCTAAAACCTGGCACAGAGCTGATGCAAAGGTTGGAAGATATGCAGAGAGCAGGTCCTCCATCCTGGCTGACTGCAGACTGGTGCCAGGAGCATTGAGGGGAAACCCCAGGGACTATGTTTATTTAGATTGGATAGTTCTCAAAACAGTAGTTGTAAAGATCAGATTTTGGGCATCTAGATCACATGTTTCTGTGGGAGTAAGATGGCTGAATATTTGTAAACACCTTGTTTAAAATTATTATGGTTGCGTTTCTGGTGAACTCTCTGGATCATAGCTTTGGAGAGTATTCAGTCTTTTGGTGCTGGGACAGGTTTACCTAGTCATAGGAAAATTGATCACTATGTGGGTAGAACAAAATTTGTAACTAACTTGTAAATAAAGTTTACCTTCAAAAGTTTCTAATATCCTATCTTTTTCGTTATATTGTTGCAGGTTTGGTTCTGAGGAGTTGAAAAAACAGTTCCTGGTACCAACTATAGCTGGAGATTTTGTGGCTTGCTTGGGAATCAGTGAAGTTGGAGCTGGGTCAGATGTGGCAAGTAAGTTAACCTAGCACATCGCCTATTTTAGACAGCCTGGTATTTTAATGGAAAGAATCTGGTTTCCCTGACCCTTCCCTTTGGCACCGTCATTTCTGAGAAGTACAAAGGAGGGAAAGCGTGGTGTGGTGAGGGCATAATAGTATTCCAGGAGCAGTACTGCATGACTCTGATACATCCAAAAGCAATCAAATTGAATGTATTTGTCAGTGAATCAACAGCTATAACCCTGTATAGTCTGAGCATAGCAGATGAATATGCAGCTGTCATGCTGGCCCTGGATTTCTCCTAGTGTTTGTTTGTGCTGCTGCCGCCCCGTTGTGTTGGAGCTCAGCAGTGGCAGGGAGCCCCCCAGCACCTCCTGGGGTTGCACGGCCACCCTTGGTTGTGCAAATCTGCAGAGGTACGTGATAGGGGCTGTGGCCCATTCAACTGAACGAAAACTTGCACTTCCTTGAAAGAGACCTCTCCACTGAACGTGGGCAAATTGCAAAGCTAGCCCATTCTGAAAATGATGGCATTGCTTTCACAGTGGGTTCCTCTTGCTCATTCTTACCTCACCTCAGCCCCTTCCATCATTCCTGTGCAGCAAAAATGTCTCTGAACTAATGACTGTTCTGTTTAGAGCTAATGAAGAATTTGCCATGTCAAATCTGTTAACTTTGTGATTTAGTTACTTTGCATGCAACTGTTTTTCTTGTTTTAGTGCAAGAATATGTTTAAAAACATCGACGAATGAAACTATTTTTCTGAAGTGCCTGAGGCAGTAGATAATTTGAACAAATAATTAAAACAGATATTGTAGAAAAAGTAGAAGATATCTCATCTGACTGTGAATCGTGGACTTCAAGGAAAAGGGAATTACAAGAAACCACTTTTAGAGGTTTTGTTGTTGGACACAGGATGGCTAAGTTAAACGCATTGTGCTCTTACAAATTACTGAGACAATGTCTTCCCATGGACAAAATCTCCCAAGTTTGACAGAAGTGTTTTGATCAGCAGAGTCGTATGTCCATCTCCTTGACCAAACTCATGTTGTTTTCTCAAGACAAATAGATAATTATTCAGTGTTAGAGCAAGGGCGCAGCAGGTAGTTTTCAAGACAGTTAATGGGGGTAATGAAATAGTAATGGGACTAAATTATCCTGCATGATCCATTACTGTTTTCCTTTCTGGTTATTTTATTTTGTTCATAAGAAAAAATTCCATGATTTTTATAGACTTATTTTTCATTAAAATAATGTGTCATTTGAATTTTGTTAATGTAGGAAGTACAATATCATTTATTTTAATTAATGTCTCTGTAGTTTAATTAGATGATTATCAGAACTTTCTAAATATGATTTTAATTTTTTGATGCAGTGTTCCAGATAATAAGTAACATAAATATTCTTTTAGCTGCATGTTGTTGATCATTTAGTTTAATTGATATAGTGCACTTGGATTAATATAGATAAAGAGAAATTTGGAATCAACTAGGATTATGTGATGAACCCAGACTGCAGCTGGGAGGCAGACTGCAGGATGAAATGACGATACTTTTTCACCTGTCATGGAAGATCTGATCCCTGGTATAAATCCAGAAACCAGCTTACAGTGCTCCTGAAGGGTAGTTAAATGGGCAACTTAGGCATGAGCAGCACTAGCTTATGTTCTGAGTAACACTGGTTTGCACAAGGCAGAGAGAACACATCATCTCCAGGTGACCCAGCTTTAAAGTAGACTGAACTGTGTGAAACTGCATTTGATAATTCCTTTGGTTTCTCATGCTGTTGGGATGTTTGTCTCCCTTAGATAAGTGACGGGGTAGTAAAGCATAGCAACTGTTCACGTGTGAAGGTTGGGGACATGCTTCTGCCATGTAAGTCAATATATTTTAAACTGAAGAATGACACAGAGTAAGGTATCTCCAGCACTTTCTTCTGCCAGTTCCAAAATTACTGAAGGTGATGCAAACATAGAAGAAAAAAAAGTGTTTCTCTACATGAGAACTGAAAAGTCCCTGGAATTAATTTATTCAAAATTCAACAAAACAAAAAGGACTGTGTATATTAGTCTAATAAAAATTTCAAGTCAATTTGAAGGAGCGCCTGTCTGCTTTCAAATGTAGTTGTTCTATATTGTACATAGTATTGATGATGTACAACAAAACTAGCATAGAGATCACTTGAGAAACAGAACAGTACAGAACAGTTGGTATAGGAAGTGTCTTTCTTTAATTTCAGGATTCTTGGTACCACAAAGCATATACATATATGTCAGTTCTAATGATTTTGTCTCACTCTATCTCACTACTATTCTGCAATTTATATGATATTTTGCTGATAGTCTGTGGGGGATATGTAAGAATACACCATGGAAAACACTTCCTTTTTCTCCAAATTATATCTTCCAGGCAACTGCAGCAAGTAACCCTGTTCATGTCTACCTCTTCAACATAGATATCTTGCTCCATTTTGTCCCGGTGGAATCCAATCTTTCTGCTTTTCTGGGTTTAGGTCATCTTTTTTGAGCATGAAAAACCAAAATTGCACATGGTGTCTGTAATAGCACAAATACTTCTCCAACCCTAATAGAAATATATACCCTCCAATATGTAATGTTACACAACAGTTTGCTGCCTTGTGAATCTTGTGATTAACTATGCAGATCATCTTCATTAGCGGTTTGCTATTGAAATATTGTAAGATACAGCAATCATTCTTATTACTTTGTGCCTCAGTACTTGTACTTACCATGTTGAATTAAAAAACTCATGATCATTTCTTTCTTGCTGGGCAATAACTCAGTTGTCTTTGTTGGTGATGTCTCCCAAGTGTGTGTCACCAGCAAATTTCATTAGTGTATTCCTATTCTTCTTTTAAAGATCATTAACAGAAATATTCAAGAGGTGTTGTCCAAAGGCTGATAACCAAGGAGGAACGCCAATAGTACCCTCCCTGCACACCAGCACATCCTCTTTCAATACAAACTGATGTAATTTCCCCTTTGCCAAATTCCTTACCCACATTTCCACTTTTGTCCTAATTATCTTTTCAAAATTTTAACTCCTAGTTACCTAGTAGCATCAATTTTAGCTTGCTTGGGTATAACAGGCTTTTTCCTGTTCTGCTTTTCTCTACAAAATCCATTTCTGTAATAGACAAATCAGGTTGATTTTAAATGAGATACCACTGGTAAATTGAATTTCCTTTTCTTTCCAAATCTATTCTGAGACTGTGCAGATTACCAAAACCAAGAACCTCTGTTTTCACCCTTTTAATTTTTGTACAGTCCTTCCTGTAGTTGTCTTGCTTTGTCAGCTATGTTGTCAATCTTTTTGCAGTCTCGTGAAATTTTTCTTTAGTTTTGAGGCATCCTCTATACACCTCATATTCTTTCTCATTCTCTTTTCATTTCTGTGGCTGAAACATTTTTGTTTACTGCCTCAATCTTCTTTGATTTTGTTGGCTTTCATCTGCAAGATTTAACTTAGTTTGACCTGTGGCAGTTCTTACCTTCTGACCTCCAAAACTGTAGCTTACTTTGATGATTAATGTCTTTCCTTTCCTGTAGGCCATATTCCGGTTTTTGAAGTGATAATTCATTCAGTTAGACTTGAAGCTGTTTCATGCAAGTTCTGTTTTGTTTTTTTTTTTTTTCCTGTGCTGATGATGTCATTTCCAGATATATGTTCTTCATTTTTTACTTTGAGGATATGTGTTGCCTATCTTTGATCATAATATTGACCTTAAAAGTTGAAGCCAACCTTACCTTTTATCAGATCTATTTAGATGCATGCCTGGACTCAAGAGCACAGTGGAGAAGAAAACTTGAGGCTCAAGTATGTTGTGATTTGAATGGTGAAGTGACCAGCCCTGGTTGCTTATATAGCACTAGCTGTATCATATGCCTTTTCATAGAATCATTATGGTTAGAAGAGACCTCAAAGATCATCAAGTCCAACCATATACCTGATGCCACCATGCCCGCTAAACCCACTAAACCAAGTCTCGAAGCACCACATCTAAACGTTTTTTGAACACCTTCAGGGATGGTGAGTCCACCACCTCCCTGGGGAGCTTGTTCCAATGCCTTATGGCCTTTCCTAGAAGGGGCCCTCACAGCATGCTCTGTAAGTTGTTGAGTTATACACACTACAGAGCCAGTGGCGTGGACCCGCCAGAAATTATTTATGGACTACCCACTGAACTAGCCTTTTCCTAGAGCTATGTTCTATCAGGAAGAATAATTACGTTCAAATATTCCAAATTATCTTCATAGCCATATCTCTGAGACTGACTCCACTTGACTTTAGTAAATTAAGTAGGTTTTCAGTCTGCTGTATTTTAAATGCAAAATTTACTTATTGGCTTGACCATCTTTCTTCTAATTAAAGAGAATCAGCTCTTCATACATTGATGTTAAATAGTCATTTCTCAAGTGTTTGAAGCAAACTGTCAACCATTACATCTGGGACTACTTGAACATTCCCATTAGTAAGGCATTTGTTCTTTAATCTGTATTTGGGTGGTTAGTCCCCTGTGATGCCATGCTTGCAAGAACTGTTTACATTTGTGATAACATCGCAGTGCTCACTGTTCCTCTGCAGACTTTCCATGGAACCTCTATCTAATCTCTTCAGTAGCGGTTCCACAATAAAAGGATGTGTGATGTAAATTACTATGTATGCTCCTGTCCTTTTTACACTATTTCAGTACAGTGTCATATTTCTTATTCTGGCTCTTGTGTGTCCTTCATTTATTATTTAGTCTCCATGTAAATGATTGCCCAATGTCTGTGTCCATGTACTATGAGCATCAGTATTTTAGATTCCTTCAGTTTGTTGGCCTTTGTTATTATAGAGATTTCATATCAAGTCCCTTGGACAGATTTGGCATAGTCCTTTCATT